CCATGTTTTTGAGTGAAAGCATTTTGTTTAAAGACAATCCTGATTTTGTAGATGTCAACTGCTCAACTTGTTCCAAGAGATGATTTCCATAATTGAAGTATTGCTTCTTATCCTAGTCTGAACTTATCAAACTTCATATAAAGATCTGTCTGTTATATTTCCCTGTGTACTGTTTCTTGGCTCTTTCTTGGATGAGCTAAATATCTGAGAATCTCTTAAACTCATACTGTAAAGCAGTTAGATTTTTTTTGTCATCCTCCATTTGATCATTCATACCACTGATTCTTGCCTGAATTCTCTCCAATTTTATGACATCTTTTTCTGAAGCAGGGACACTAGAACCAGATGCAGTATTCCAGTAATGATGTTGCTGAGGCTGTATGCAGAGGTCATTTTACCTTCCTGATGTTGCTCAGTATTCTCCTGTTCCGTGCTACCCCTGTTAGCCATTGCTGGGATCTCATGTTCAGTTAGCTCTCCACTCTAATCCTTAAAGTCCTTTTCAAGAGTTGTTGCTTTCCAGGATATAATTCCCCATCCTCTACAGGTGTGGACAGATATAACAATTGAACCATTCCAAGAATGTCACTGGGAACTGGTTCATATTATCCCTGGACAAAGGTGTCCACACATACTGCTAAGAGTTTTAAGCAGAACCATCACTTTTTAAGGATTGGACTGCTACTAAAGTGCCACGGGGTGGAGGGGTAGACTACTCGTACTGTCGTACCTTCCAGGGGTCAGTGGTCAGAGTTTCCCCCGGATTCCTCTAAAGAGGCAGGAAGACCAGATTGGCTGGCTGCCAAAAAAAGAGGAAGACACTGGGGGGGTGTGAAATGGGTTATATTTGATTCGGAGTCCGCCCGAATCGGGGACAGCAGTTTGATTTGTTGATTTGGATCACTGTCCCCAATTCGATTCAGCCGAATCCGAATCTGAAGATTTGATGCCGATTTGGCAAATCAGCAATTTAGCCATAGACACAGCTTTAAACATTTTTTCTACATACCTTGAGGTACCAGGCGCAGCTTATGATGCTATGGGAGAGAGAGCGTCCCACAGGAGTGCAGGGGGGACCCCCGCATGCTTGGCAGCGGACCCAGAAGTGGATCGGAAGTACTTCATCTACTTCCAGGTCTGCCGGGGAGCGCGCAGGGGAGCCCCCCTGCACCCTCCTGGCTCAGTGATTATCCATGGGGGGCCCCAGGTGCCCCCCCAGACCCAGGAGGCGCTGGTTGCTGAGCCGGGGGGTGGGGTGGGGGGGTGTGCCCGCATGCTCCCCAGCGGACCTGGAAGTGGACCAGAAATGTTTCTGGTCCACTTCCAGGTCTGCTGCCAAGCTCGCTGGGGAGCCCCCCGCACTCCTGTGGGACACTCCATGCGCCCCAGCATCACGGCCATCTGGTACCTAGAGGTATGTAGAAAAACCATTGAAAGCTGTGTCTATGTCCAAATAGCTGAATCTCTCCGAATCGATTTGGAGGGTTCTGATTTGATTCGGAGAGATTAAAGGGTATCCTGATTCAATTCAGACTTGGAGATTTGGCCACTGAATCAAGCCGAATCTCTGCCGAATTGAATCAGGGACCAAAGCTTTGCACAGCCTTAGAAGACACCATTGCTCACAGTAAAAATAATTCTACTGTCCTCCTCAAAACTTTGAGTTAGATTGATTTAGTTTAATAAAGAATGCTGTTAGACTTCACCCATAATCTATATGGTTGACTGGGAGTACACAGGTGTGTGTAGGTTGGGTGGGTGGGGGAACAGCTTGGACCCCATCAGAGGAAACTGATCCTATTCAACGTAGTCCCAGGCTCTATTGGGTTTGGAGCATGATGGAGGGTGGAATGGTTGCCAGGTGCTAGGGTGGCTGTGTGACCCTGTCTATCTGGGACCCACAGGTGAAATAGGAAATTGGAGCAGGGGTTGAAAGCCATGGACTTCTTGGAGGGGACTGGGGTGAAGCACCCAGCCCCCAGAGAACCATAACATGAGCAGGGTGTTGCACAGCCCCCTATCCCACCCCACCCCACCCACCCCAAATGGGCTGTGGGTGGTCCCTAGCAGGAGAGTGAAAGGGACATAGAGGCTTCCCCACCCTTCCAGACTGTCCCCTGTAGGCAGTAATGTCCTGCTGCATTGCACAGCAGTCCCTCACTCTGCATGTGTTGGACAAGAGGAGCACTGCAGTTTGGGATGCCTGGAGGACTAACCAAACAATAGACACAAAAACACTCTGTGTCCACACATAACAGAAAAGTTATAGTATTTGGTTTTTTCCAGAGTGCTTTTAAAACATTCCAGGAAGTTTAAACTGGTTGCATGCACATGTAGACTCTTGGGTTTTATGTTTTTATTTAGAAGGTTCAAAGCATTACATCTGTCCATGTCCTACATGTAATCTACTTTCTTTGTAGTCATAGGAAGCTGTATTTGGCTATATTAAAACACATGTTGCTCACATGAGCTTGACCTAGCAAGCAGTTCAGGTTGTTGTAGAAAGCTGACCTGACTTAAATGTTAATTACCCCTCTACTGAGTTTTGTCATTAGTGGTGGTTCTATAGCTTTTTTCAAATGGGTGATACAGTTAAGGAAATAGCTTTGAGCCAAGAACACATCCCTGGGGAGTCCCTGTTTAAAATGTCACTTTTTGGATGAGGATTCTCCACTGAAGCTGATTATTTGACCATTTTTAAAATCCATGTCAATCAAACTTGTATCATGCTATTTTTTCCATCAAGATTGTGGTAAGATGTGGGACTTAATGCCATAGTTAATAAAGTTGTTAGTTACTGTATCATTCAACCTTGATCATCACAAACATCAAGATTAAGATATATATTTTTTATTTTAAATTATTTTTTCTCTTTGCATTTCATACCAGCTTTGTCACTGGGGATTAATATCTGCTATCTTATTGATTCTCTTGGACTTGAAAGGGATGCTTGCAAAAGCTTCTGTTGCTGATTTATGAGTTTGTTTGGCAGTGCCATTGCTTAATTTAGGGCCATTAATAAATGGTAATAACCTACAGGCAATGGCATATCCTTTTCAGGTTTGACTTACAGTACTGCTCCTTCCTGTTGGGGCTGGGCTGTGCCCCCTTCCCCTCATCAGGCTGGGTTGGGGCTTGGCCCCGCCCCCTTCTCTACTGGGCCATGCCTCTTTCCTCTCCACTGGGCAGGGCAATTTCCTTTCCCCTGCAGGGCTGCATTGGGGCTCACTTGCCCCCTGTCTCCCTTTCCTGCCTCGTTGTGGCAAGATGGTGCCCGCCATGCCAGCACCGGATTGGGGGCACCAGCTGGATCCAGCCTGCAGATGGACCAGGCACTTCCAATCAGGCCTACCCACCAAAAGTTAGGGTACCATTGAGCTAGGCTTTTCTCAGTGGTGGCAGATGACAGAACAAGGAGCAATGGTCTCAAGTTGCAGCAAGGGAAGTTTAGGTTAGATATTCGGGAAAACTTTCTCACTAGGAGGGTGGTAAAGCACTGGAACAGGTTGTCCAGAGAGGTGGTGGAATCTCTGTCCTTGGAAGTTTTTAAGACTCGGCTAGACAAAGCCTTGGTTGGGATGATGTAGTTGGGGATGCTTCTTCTTTGAGCAGGGGGTTGGACTAGATGACCTCCTGAGGTCTCTTCCAACTCTAATTTTCTATGATTCTGTGAGAAGGGGTAGCTTTCATAAAGATTTATATGAACCATGGTTTAGGTTTTTTTGGGAGGGTTTTTGTTTTTTTATAATCAGTGAGCCCTTGCTGGACTAATCCAAATGTGAACTAGTTGTTCATGTCTGTTCCATGGTTGGCTTATAATAACCCCCCATAACCTCAGTATTTTCAGTGTATATTTATACCTCTCTAGATCGGTTATAATACTTAAAGGACATTGTAGCTGGTTTAGAGTTTTTCTCTTGATTTAAAGCAGGCAAGGTTCTTTGAGTAGATGTGATGTATTTTATTAGACCAACCAAGTAGTTGGAAAAAAGTTCTTTGCAAGATTTTGAATGCAATCGCCCTTCTTCAGGCACAGGAAGTCTCTGCTGTCCTGGGACTCCAAGGAATGCCTTACAGGATTAACATAGGAAAAGTAGTGAATTTTCATATTACCCTGTTTTGAAGTTGCAACTATTACAGTTTCTGCAAGAGCTAGTTTGTCACAGTTTCAGAAACCTATGCTCACTCTAGGCCAAACGCTAGCAAACCTACTGAACCACTTGCTCTGTCCTTCAGGGACTTTATTTTGGTCCTCAGCCTGTATTGACTTAGAATAATGCCAGATTTGATGGTCAGCGTAATTTGATACAGATGGGCCCTTCATATAAGAACAAGACAATCAAATTCCTTTCTTTTTTGAGGTCAGGATATTCAGACATATGCCTCCAGAGACAAAGGGGACATGGTACATAATAATCAGTTGCCATTGAATGTCATTGTTAAGTTTCTCTTTCAGATATTACCTTTGAAATATAAGCAGTTCTTTAAACGAGTCAGGCTCATCATTTGACTGGTAATTTATTAGCCTTGTTTGTAGTTTTGATATATTTTTTCCATTTGATAGTGCAGGCAGAAGTGCTGTGGCTTTTGAGTGTGCAGACTCATTAGAACAATAATACTCACAGATGTGTAAATGGCCTAAGCTTGGAATTTGTTGGTTTTTTTTAAAGTCTCAACAGTTCGATAGTACTACTTAATAAAGGATTCACAATATGTATTACATTTTATCTGTGAAATGTAATTACCAGATCGGTTTGTCGGGTTTTTTACATAAATGCAAAATAGAGAAGCAAGAAGATATATGTTCTTGGCCTATGTAGCATGTGTACTCAAGGTTGAAATCTTTGTGAAATAGAAGAAGCAGATATGGTAAAATCCCCTTATTTACTTGCATAGCTCTGAATTTGGTCTTCATTTGACTGCCTGTGATCTTCATTATGGATAGAGACGAGAAAAAGAAATGTTCAGTGAATTAGTGCCTGCTTTTGTTTCCATTTCAGGAAGGCCCCAAAGCATTGGCAACTCAGAACGGATTCAGCTCTCAGGAATGTACAACGTTCGAAAAGGGAAAATTCATTTGCCAGTCAACAGATGGACAAGACGCCAAGCTATCCTTTGTGGGACATGCTTAATAGTATCATCGGTGAAAGAGAGCCAGACTGGAAAGATGCATGTCCTCCCTCTAATTGGTGGAAAAGTAAGTTTTAATGCTTGAGGTTACTTATACCAGTCTTATTTTTCACACTGCAGAAGACATGTGATGCTTTCTGGACACAAGTTCTTGTCCCAAAGTACTTACATTCTGTTGGCCTGCTGATAAAAATATTTATGGTTAGGCATAGCATCTATTGCCAAGTTAATTGTGCCATTATTTGCTTCAGTTTTTGTCTTTTTAGATTGAATCCTCGAAAGGGAAAAGATATGGGTAACTCGGTTCATTTTGTTGTAGAATCACGCATCAGATGTTTTTTATATGAGGGTATGTACAAGTCTGGATTTTTGTTTTGCTTCTGCTGACTAATATGCCAATTTGCTCAGTGGCTGAGTCCATTGTTCACTCAGTTGCAAATATTAAAGTATGCGTTTAGTGCGCTCTAAGAATGAGACTGTATTTTTCAGTGCATCTTTTTATGTATGTGGAGCGGAGTATATTAGTGACTTATTGTGAGTGAACAGCAGTAAGGAAACTGCTTACTATGAACCAGAGTTTTATTTTGAGTGAATTCTGCTGATGCATCAAAATAGTTGCACATGAGACCCTCTTGAAGGCAGTAGGGTTATGCAAGTGTAACTAGAGTCCTTATCTGGCCTTCACACTTTTTTGTTATTGGTGGTGATTGCATACAAGGTAAAAAATAACCCAATGAGTTGCTCTTAACCTTCTGTACTAGGATGTTTGATACATAAATCCATTCAGATTTTAATATACTTGTGAAAAGTTCATAGTGCCATATTTGCAAAGTCAGTTCAGCCATACTTGAATATTCTGTACTGGAATATATTGAATGTGCTTCTCCTAGTTATGTGGAACTTCCCTTCCTCTTCTAGTCACGCTCTTCTCCCAGTGAAAGTTTTCCCACTCTTCCTTTTCCCTCCAGAAGAATTAATGAAGGGATGTTTCATAACCTTTTCCCCAGCAATTGTATGCTTCATTTTTGGCTGCTGCTGCCGGGAAGTGGAAGTTTTAGGCCTTCCTAGGCTTTTCTCTTCCAAAGCAGCTACAGGCAATGATTACAGTAAAATCTTGGCATCAACATCTCCTCTATTAGCATTTCTGTGAACCTTCAAAGTGTGGTGCACATCATGGAACTGGTGAGAAGTAGGTCATTGCTGTAGGCCTCTGCTAACCAGGTTTGGGTGTGGGGCACTTGGGACAGGATTAGTGTCTGAGCTTGCAACTGAGAATATTCTCCCTCTATTCCTTAAAATACTGGTGTACATTTTCCACAAGGTACTTTGTATTAAGCCACCCCTGAAGTCAGAAATTGTGTGGGACTGAGTGTATTGTATCAGCAAGGATGTGTTCTGGGGTGTGTCTAGCATGCTGGGAAGTGTCAAAGGATTTAATTAGGGCCTAGGGGAAGAATATTAATGTAAATTTTTAATCTTGAACTATGAAAACAAAACGTGCCCATTGCTGCTTCTCTTTGAAAATATATGTATATATATATTAATACAGCATAAATGCCTATTATGAGGTTAATCTTTTATTAATGCTTGCTTTTTATTAGAAATCAGAAAATTTTTTGGGACGTTCTGGCAGGTTATCCATATGAGGACCTGATTATCCAAATGTGTCAAAAAAGAACAAAAAGTTGCAGTGATTTTTTACTTTGCATTCTAGCTGTTAAAGACTGCCAGCAAATGTTTCAAACTAGCGAAGATTATTGCTAAACACTTCTCCCAGGCCTGCCCCAAGCCCCTCTGATTTACATACCTTTGCTTAGTTTTTCATTAGGAAGAGTTTGGTTCTATTTTTGAAAAACCAAAAAGTGCTTGAAAAATTAGTTGTGCTGAAAATCTTACTATGTTTGTGTCTTGAAAACAAATCTAGATAATACTTAGCTCTTAGGTTAAGCGATAATAAGTCGCCAGTTAAATGCTGTTCATTGTTTACAAAATCTGTGCAAGCAGTGGATTATAAAATCTTTGACCCTCATATCCCAGCTTTAATGATACTTAAGAGGTTTTCCTTTAGGACTTTACTTAAACAGCTTTACCTCTTGGCCCTTATTTTATTAATAAAATAATGAAACACACATGCATGTGCACATAAATATGTTTATGGATTATTTATAATATTATGCATTTATGTATATAAAATGTTGTATGCATAAATTATTTTATAATATTTTTTTTTGTCTTTTTAACATAGGTGGAAGAAGTGAAAAAGCACCAGCACTGTTTAGCATTCAGCTCTTCTGGACCACAAAGCCAGACCTACTACATTTGTTTTGATACGTTCACAGAATACTTGCGGTGGCTTCGACAAGCGTCAAAGGTAAGGAAAGAATTTTCATGCCTAATGTTCTCCCTAGGTATTACCTAGGGAGAACATAAGAGAGCACTGGCTGCTTTTGTGTGGGGCTCGATGTTATATAGTGGTTTTGATAATTTTGCTTATAAAGCAAGAGTGAATGTCCTGGGTTTTTTGGCTACACTGAGATTTCTCCTCCATGGTGTGTAAATGACGAACACCAGTCAGATTTATCCCCTTTCCCTCTTAATGCAGCTTCTTAACAAATGGAATGAAATCATGAAGATAATTCAGAAACATGGTTTTACCCAGATTTTGGTATGGAAAGCTTTGTTTCAGTTCCAACAAAAGCCATGGTAATGCAAAAAATGTAGAAGACCCAAGCACAGTGCTACATATGTGACTACTGTGAATACATATGTGACTACTGGTAGCTTGCTTTCTGTTGGAAATGTTAGACCTTGCTGGGTTTGTATTTTGGTTTAGTAAATGAAGTTCTCATAACAGGATAGACACACCTTGCATTTCCTCTTGCTGGAGCATTTTTAGCATCATCTTCAAACATCTTGACGTATGGAGTCAACATCTTGTATTAGGGCTTCAGTTGACTCTTCAGTTGCAAGGTTTCACTTCTTTGATATCGTTCTCTCATTAGGGATCAACTTAGCTTTTAGCTGTGTAGTTAAGCTTCTACAACATTCTCACATAGTTGAAGTGTCTGGGATTTTATTAAATGTTAATTACTAGTTAAGTACAAACTCTAGATGGGAATCTTTTCTCCTTCCAGCTACTTTTAAAGCATTGGTTTTTCATTTCATTCAGCCAACCTCCTTCTCTAGTCCTATATTCATGTAAGGGAAAACAGGGAAGTCAAGCTCACCCTCACACTTGACTGCTACTACAGTCTCTCTCCTTCCTGACAGAGTTTGTTGAAGTAGAAACATTACAGTCCAAAATTAACTTTGGAATCCAGGTCATCCACACAAGAAACTGCAGAAGCACCAACAACACTGTTTCAGCTTAGTACAGACAGGACCTTAAAATAATTTCTCTTTCCAAATTTTATAATTTGTTTTCAGTATCTGACTATAGAATGAACATACTAGGCCATGGAAGCACTAAACTTTTGTTATCCTTCTGGATCACCTGCAACATTTAGAAGTTAAAACTAATATTTGAGTGTGGGAAAGGGCCTCCAACATTAAAGAGTAAGGCCCACTTCCACCTTTTTAAAAGCATTCTGTTTAAGGCTAAATCAGCATATCTAAAACTGACCTATTTGGAGCAAGTGTGTCACTGAGTTCAATATTTAGATCAACATTCACTCTAGAATAGAATTCACTGCAAAATGCTTCCCCTTCCTCTAGTACCTCCCTCCGCAAATTTGGTCTGAATCACTTTTAACATTCAGAGTAAAGAAGTTATACATTTTCTTCATTTTTTTAAATCAAGAGGAACAGTACTAGGGTACCTTTGCCACAGTCCTACGTTTGATTCCTCTTGATTGCTAAATCTGAGGATGATGGGCAGAATTACAAAGGTCAGGAATTAGCTTTCTTAACTCTTTAAAAAGACTTCATTCAGCTTTCAATTTTTTCCTCAGCACATGTTAAGAATGTCTTCCCTTTTGTCATTCTGTTAGGAGAGTCACGTGGTCATCTTTCTTCCCACAGAGTGTTGGCAAAACAGAAGTGTTGCATTAGAAAGTATGCTTTCAAGATATATATGTTGTTATATAAGTACAAAGAGCATCTCAGATTTCTTCTTAATGCACGTACAAAAATGACCTACAAGCTTTCAAGTGAAAAACTATTGCTAGTCAAAGTCTCAAATGAAAGCTTAAGTTATCAGTGTTTACTATGGTATTTTTTTTCTTCCTGTATTATTTATAAATTTATATTTTTGAATATACTAGTAAGAGGCAGAAACTTCAGTTTTCAGTGACATTTTGTCAGGCTGTATTAACCAGATAGAATTTATATACTCTTGAGTCTTAAATTTTACTTTCAGAATAATTTTTAGATGCAAGTGATTCGGAACATCATATTGAATTATCTAAAGTTGAATGTTAATAAATATTCCAAATAAGTGCCTGTCATGGGATACCCAAATCTGCAGTGGCTCATTTTAGAAGCACTGTTTCCATATGCACAAGAGTTGTCCACAGATCGGGCTCTAACTACTCTCATTTTTGGTTACTGTCAACAGCTAACATAAAGCTATGTTCATGTGTATCATTCATATGTTTTTGGAATGTGATATTCAGTATGGCATTTTTTGTGTTTAGAAGTCTAATCTAATTGTCACTGGTGACACATGTACACTGCTTAATTTGAGGAGGCATTAGTTATACAGATATTCCCCCAAACTGGGTTTACTGACCATCACATTTAGTATCTCTCAGTAGCTAGTAAGCTACATTTGTTTGTATCATTCATATGCTTGGTATAAGATGTGTTTTATGTCCTAGTTAGACTGCATACTCAGTGCCTTGGTTATCAGTTGTTTATGGACAGCCAAACTCATTTTACTAGCTACAAGCCAGTTTCTGGTTTAGTTTTTCTGCCCATCCAATGGCCAGATGCATTTCAAAAGGAAAATGCATCATATACATATCAAAACAAAACACCTAAACTTGTCAGACAGATGTCTGTCTGGTACAGGAAATCATATGCAAAGAAACAAACGTTTCTGGCTTCCTTGACTAGAATAAAAATGAGGGAGATATGATAAGGGCTTTAAGTAGAAATCCCTTTGGGGTGAGGCAGAGTAAACAAGACATTCCAAATCTAGGGGAAGCAAAGGAAAGCTTGTGAACTCCCTGGGGCAAGCTGACAAGATTGCTAGTTTCTGGAAAGAGCGACCTCCAGGAATGCTGCTTCAAATGATGTAGTAGTAGTAGTGAAGTATCTCTGTTGTTGTTCCTTCTCCTCCTCCTCGTCGTCGTTGTCATCATCAGTGCTCCCTCAGTGGAGGATGATTGTCTTCCATGATTGCCTTATCTCTGGGTCTGTTATCTGGTATTTGTTGGTAGTATCTCCAAACCTGACAACCCGTTTGCTTGTGTTTTCCAGTTGTACATACTTTTATTTATTTGATGTATATCCCACCAAACTTTTTAAAAACATTTTTACTAATTGATTGTCTCGTAATATGAGTGATCACACTGTGGCTGGGAGCAACCATTGCCTTATCACGAGAATGGCAGACTTCACTTTTTTGCAGACCTAAGGAATTCTTAGTTCGTGGAGCCTCCCTTCCCTAAGCTATAAGCTCCAGACAGAGTGCTGGTGAGAGATTTTTGTCAAGGAGAGAAGTCTTCTCTGAGTAAGATCAGGTCTCTATGGAATGATATGCAGCAGTACAGTTGGGGCAAGAACTCAAGGCTCTGGGATCACTCAAGGTTTGTCACACCAATCAAATAATCTTGGATTTGTTTATTGTCTGGTAAACCTGATAAACAGATTATTGGTTTGTTTGTAGGCAAGAGAGACTTCCCACTGACAATGACCACACATTAGCATATTTGCAAAACAGTGGCCTGGTACATATCAAAGAGAACACTATTAATATACTTATCAGAAATGTTAGTTTTTGGGAAGAAATCATTTGGCCAAGATAAATTTGTCTCTAGGAGACGGAATAGAGATAAAGATGAAAGAGAGAGAAGAATGAACAATCTAAGGAGGAGTCTTGGGGGAGAAAAGAAGACAAGCACCACAAGTAGGAAGCTGCTGTCAAAAGGTACAGGGGAGGTGTTTCTGTTTTCTCTTTCTAGGTCTGTCTTTAACAACAATTATTTTCTGTATTTCTACCTTGCACAATAAACCTGCTTTGGCTTTTTACCTTACAGCTTGCCTGGTGGTTAAAAATGATTTCAGGGTGGCTGGCAGTAGTAACAATTTCTTTCTTATGGGGACAGCAGACCTAACTTCATTTTCAAACCCAGAGAACCCTAAAGGTTCTTGGAGTTCTACTCTACTAAGCTGTACAGTTCACTCATGGTGCTGAAGAAGGTGAGAATTGTTAGGGGGAGAGGTGTATCCCATAGGCAAAATCCAGTCACAGATATGCAGCAGGGCAGTGGGGAGAAGATTTGGAGCTCTGGGGTCCCCACAAGGACCAGGGTTTGTTGCATCGTCATTAAGTATTTCAAAATCATTTCAGTGTTTATTTTTATGCTATAGCTACAAATTTATTTCTGCCTCAAAAGCACTTTAAAGAGAAGTGCAGTTTAAATATCACTTCTACATGGCACATTTAATCCAGCTATAGTTGTCAGCTAAAAGCTTGCAATAAAATTGAAGATCAGAAAAACTCCCCACTTCAACTGTTCTTCCCAGGAAAGCATTTTCTTCATTAGCAAGGGGGTTTGTATTGTAAAGCACACAACCAATTTTAACTGGGCTACCTTGCAAAAATGGAGTGTCTTCTTTTATGTAG